TTACTATAAAGTAAATAAATAATTTTTTTTTTCTGAAACTTGCCTCTGCCAGCATAATAATTCTCGCAATACCATAAGGCTTATCACAATCTATGTTTTGTCTTTTGTCTATGAAGTTCAGGATGACCTTGAACCACGATTCTCCTATCTAGGTGTGGGAATTACAGGCGTGTGCCACCATACCTAACCTAGCATAGCACATGTATAAAGTGGTGATTTCTAATATGCAATCAGAACAATGATATATTGGTTTTTCGAGACAGGGTTTCTCTGTAGCTTTGGAGCCTGTCCTGGAACTAGTTCTGTAGACCAGGTTGGCCTTGAACGCCCAGAGATCCGCCTGAGTCTGCCTCCTGAGTGCTGGGATTAAAGCACCACCGCCGGCTTTAGAACAATGCTATAGTAAAAGTCTAACAGAAACAAACACTAAATCACTACTACATAACAGCGAACAAAAATAGATGGAGATGGAGTTCCAGAACCACAGGGGAATGTGGCTAAAGAAGGAAGTAGCAAAGAGAGCTGTGAACTTCCCAGAAACACTGAAGATTCACAATCTGAAGTAATCTATCTCCTGCTAAAGAAACTCAACAGAATTATAAGTGAAAAAAAAAAAAAGAAAGAAAAGAAATTCACATATCCATTCCACAAGAAACACAATGAAAGCATACTTTAAATAAAATGAAAGGGGGTGGTGGATATCTACATGCTGCCAAAAGAAAAGAAAATCATTCTGGAAAGCACTTTCAAGGAAAACTAGACTCTTAGAAAGACAGCTGGTCTGTTATAACAACTGAGTAGGTAAAATGTCTTAAGTGAGGTAAGAGAAATTCCCAGCTAAGTAAACTAAACCTAGTAAAACACCCCTCAAGAAAGCACTAACTAGACGTGGACTCCCGTGCCACCACCAGCCACTGTATTAGAAGACAGTCTAGCAGGGATCTTTGCAGATAGGATGCAAGGACCACTGCCATCCAGGCTGCCCTGTGGGGTACATGTGTGCACACACCATACAACAGCATCTTAACAAGGGGTGTGAGCAAAACTGAAGGTGTTGTGCTGCTTAGAAGGTGAGGGTGTCGCTCAGGTGATAAGAGTGCTTCCTTAGCACACACAAAGTCAAGGTGTGGGCAGAAGTCTACAACCTCAGCTCTGAGGATCAGAAGTTCAAGGTCGTCCGTGGCTTCACAACTAGACTGAGGTCGGCCTGGGATACTTGAGGTCCTGCCTACTAATAAACAAGCCCAAATATCTCCAAATACCTTACTGTAACTTTTTTCTTTGGCTCAAGGGCAAGTTCATAGTTACATGAAAATTTTATCTCTGTGCCTAGCTTTTAATGAGGACACACTAAAGTTAGGGACTGTTGTGTCATGTGACTTTGTTACTGAGCATTGTGGTGTGGTCTAGAACCGGGGCTGGCAAACTCCAGTCTATGGGCTAAATTTAGCCTACAGGTTATATTTTGTACTAACAAAGAAAGAATGGCATTCACAGTCTTGAAGTGTTGATTACAAAGACGTGAAGGAAAAAGAAAGGCCTGTCAGAGAACATGGTCAATAATGTAAAAGACTTAGAATTTGGCCCTTTATTGAAGTTTGTTAATCCCCAATTTATTACGCGACCGTTTTTTTTTAAACTTTAATTTCTTTGTGTGTGGTACATGTTTACACATTTGTGTGCAGGGGAACATGCCTGTGGAGACCAGAGGTTGGTGTCAAGTGTCTTCTTCAACCCTGCTTCACTTTATTTTTGGAGACAGGTTTTTCACTAAACCTGGAGCTTACTCGTTCAGCCAGAGTGGCGAGTTAGGGAGCCGGGGAATAAACTTGCTCTGATGTCACATGGGTTCTGTGATGTGCACCATCCTTCCCCTCCCTGGCCCAAAGAAGTGATACAGCAGGGCACACATTTATTTTTGGCCAAATACTCTCAGTCACCAGAAAAATCAGTTGAATGCAGATATGTGTATTTGCATGCTTCCCAGTTCTTCCCCTGATCGTCTGCTAATCATGTGCAGTTACATTTCCTACACATCATCTTTTCTTTCCCCTGCATATAAGCAAATGCTGGTAGACAGAGCTCATCTCTTACGACAGAACCCAGATAGCCGGGGATCTAGCCCAGCTCGGACTGAACCTCTGGCGCCTCTGAGGTTGATTCCACCTGGTTTTTACCGAACCAGTTCCTTAGAGACTGAACTAAGCAAGCTCTCAAGACAACTTAGTCCCTACCACTGCCTGCTCAACTCCGAATCCGATTCTCAATGTCCATACTTTGTCAAGACTTTTTTCTTTAGTTTTTACAGTCTCTTCCAAATTTCCCTTAATCCTGTGCCTAAAGCATTGGGGATACAACATTCTCTGGGCCCCAGAAACAAATTTAGAAATGTGTAAGTGATGCCAGTGGGATAAGGCAAAGGATATAGGACGATAAATCGATATACAGACTACAGATAGAAGACAGACAGGTGAAGGAACATGTACACTGAGGCTCGGGGACCACAGTTCCGGAGATGAGAGGCCAGGGAATCTGGGAAAGAGAATTAGACTTGTGGGGCTTCCTAGAGAACTCAGAACGGGAGGATGGCAGGCTTTGCAGGCTGTATAAAGAATTCAGTATTTACCTAAGAGACAACACGATGCTTTCGGACAGGGATGTGACACAGTGAAATCCGAATTTAGAATGAGCATTCTAACTGTACTGTGGTAGAAAGACGGGGGTATGGAGCTAGGAGACAAAAAGAAAGAAGCACACAGAAAGTTATTCTTGTTTTAGAAGAAATGAGAATCTGAACTAAATGGTGGCGTCGGCAGCAGAACGAGAAATCTGATAAATATCACTCAGTTACAGCGGGGAAAGCAATGGCTGAAAAGGTCAAGGATGATGCCTAGGAGAAACAGGGGTGCTGTGGAGGCTGTGGAAGGAAATCAGAGAGGATGAAACTGATCTGAAAAACAGAACAGAAGCCTAATGAAGCGGAAGTACCAGCTGAACAACTAACCAGGATGTGTGGATCATCGAACTGAGAATGCAAAAGTGAACTCTTAGCACACCACTCAAGAGGAGCCTGAGAACCATCTTGGATGAGGGTTTTTTTTTTTTTTTTTTTAATTTAGAGCTTAAGCTGGCAAAGAGTTTAGGATGGTTTACCAGGATGGCTGGCATTTAACCAGTGTGAATTTGGTACAGTTAAAATTGCTTCACATTCTTGAACACTGGTAGCTAAAACTACTTGACAGATGAGTAATAACTGGCTCCGAGTTTTTAAGGAATGTATCCAAGTCGCCATGTGGGTAGACATGAATAATGCTGGAATCTTGATTCGTTTCGTGCCTATGTCCTCTTCGTAATGGTCACCCATGAGCCGCAGGGAAAGAGCACATGTTGTGGTTAAAAAAATATATGAGAGAATATGTGGAGGGAAACGTGAAATAAGGGTAGTAGAGCAGAAGGGGCTGGCGGAAGATCGGGGAGCCCAAAGGCTGAGGAGAGCACAGTGCAAACCACAGGGAAAAATGCACTGAGAGAGAGAGGGATTATAACAGTGTTACTGATGCAGAGATCCAAGCCCTTTGACAGGGCTTGATAAATGGAAGGCCCAGGACATCATCCCCAGCAAGTAGTTAATTAAGAAGCTGAGGCTAGATGGGTGCACTGAGCTGGGTGGGGTGGTGGGGTGGTGTGTGCACTGAGCTGCGGGGGAGTGCGACAAAGATGGGGAGAAGGCACAGCACCCACAGTTGAGTTTTCTAAGGAACAGACCAGGGAGGCTGAAAAGCCCTCAGGAGAGCTCTGTTTTGCTCTAAAGATAGAATTCCCAGCATTTTTTCATGCCAGATGTCCTTATTAAAAAAAAAAAAAAAAATAACAACAGCAAAGTTTCATAAATGGTTTGTCAAAACTTGCAGAAGACTAAAGAGACAAACAAGACCTAGGGACATCTTATGAAGGAACTTTTGTACAGGTTCCCTCTCCCCACTTCGAGCATCCACATGGAGCTTACTACTGATTGACGGATGCTCTCACTGGGTTTAAGACACATCAACCTCAGACACACCAAGTCTCTGCCTTCCTAGGTTTGCAAGTCACCTAAGCTTGGAAACTCTTGCTGTAGCTTACTTGACTTCACTTTTTTTTTGAACTGACTCCCCCCCCCAAGACTTATCTGAGCATTCTACAAAAATCATATTTCTATATTATTCTTTAAAATGTTTTTTTCCTTCCCAGTGTTCAATCCAATCTGTAATGACTTTATTTGCTCACATTTAATTGGCTGCTTCACCCACTAGAATGATTCCTGTGTGCACTGTTTTCTTGGCGTTTGGGACTTTCAGGCTTGTTGTTTCTGGACAATAATACATACTCAGTCAAAAACTACATAGCTGGGTTTTTCCGTTTAGCTCTCCATTATGCTCATGCATGCTACTTCCTAAAATGTATGTCCTTTCCCCACTCACTGTTTTAGCATCGATAATCACAATAGCTAGCATGGATTGCCGTTATCTTAGATCATTAGGCTCGGTGCTATATAACCTTTACCCTATAACTTAATCTTTACAATAATCTCTCAATATAGTTAGGTTTTTAAACAGCTACCTCCCTTATACAAGAGAGGAAGCTGTGTAATTAATTTGCAAGTGGTGAAGCCAGGACTCGAGACTAGTTTCTCAAAACCAAAACAGTGCCTGATCACGGGCTCACTTCCAGTGATGGCACAAATTCTAGTTAGGAAGTCCTGACCCACTTTTAGCTATCTGAACTTACATCTGCTCTAACAAGGCTACGTCCTAACCTAAAATTCAAACTTCCCTCCCCTACCGGACCACTTTTAAGTGATGGAAACACAAGAGGTAGAGGGTAGAGGAGGAAGATGTGGGAAGACGTGTAAGCGCTGGTAACTTACTTCTCAGCGCCCACGTAAACCAGCACCTCATCGGAGACAGGCCATTTGGAAGCTGAAACCGATTCCTGCACCCAGCAGTGGCTAAAACACTTACCTTAACCGCCACCTCCGGAGCCGAGTCCACCGCCACTGTCAGAGAGGGCTTTGCGGAAGGTGATTTGGTCAAGTGCATGAGAGAGTCGGCGGCTGGCAGGGGACACCGACTGCCCTCACTGTCCGAGTCCGATTCGGACCCTGAACCCGAACCATACGAAGCAGCTAGAGCTGCAATCGCAGCGGACATGACTGCAACAGATCCTCTGTGCTGTGGTCAGGCCAGGGCGGAAGAAGCAGCGACTCCCAGGTCCTGACAGATAGCCAAGAAACACGTTGTTTACCTTCTTTAATAAAAAAATCATTTATAACCTCTTTGAAAAAACTTAATGATTATTACTATCACCGGGAAAGGACTTGAGGTTTGCAAACATTTATCTAGAGAAGCACAAGGAAATTACAACTACATATAACTTTCAGGACCTCGTTGATTAAAGACCCTGTTCAGAGATACCTTTGAAGCCTCGAAGTCCTCCACTCCCGGCGTGCAGCGGGGCGGGAAGCGCAATGCACCATGGGAAATGTAGTTTGAAGGGAGGAGGCGGAGTCGGGCAGAGGGGGGGGTCAGCCTTCGACCCCGCCCCACAAAGGATGGTTCATTCAATTGGATAGCATCTTCCCCCTTTTCCTAGCCCAGCATCGTTCTCTCCGGCCCCCTCCCCCAAAGTGCGGATTGGACAATACCACGGAGCCCGAGGACAGGGGGAAGCTCCGTCCTCTTGCCCACGGACGAGTAATTGCACGGAGAGTGAATCTCCCGCCACGCCGCCCTACGACCTGCGTGGCTCAAGCGGAAAGTGCAAATCTTAAGTCCAGAGACCTGGGACCCGCCGGGCTCAGCTCCGGGGAAAGGTTGTGGGGCGAGGCGGAGAGCGCCCCGCGGCTCCCCCTGCTGCAGGCGCGGATCTCCGCGCCCGGTTGTGGAGCGTCGCGCGGGGAGGGGGCGGCGCAGGGCAGCGGCGGCTCGCGGTGTTGTTCGCTCGCGCGTCGCGCGCACCGCGGCTCGGGCGACCAGTGGGCGCCCCCGGTGGCATTCCCGGCGGCCCGGCGTCTCAGCCAGAGCTTGGCGCGGCTTCCACCCCGCAGCCCGACGCTCCCGAGGGGCTCTCGGTGGAGTCCCAGCGCGGAGCGGGACCGGCGACCGCCGCCGAAGCATGAAGAAGGGGTAAGGCGCGAGCCCCCCACGGTTTCACGGTGAGCACGAGTCTGTCAGGATTTTGTCCCTTTTCTTCCCCGGGTCCTGGCAAGGGAACTGTTCTCCACCGGCCGGAGCCGAGAGGGGCGTGCGTGTGAGCCCGGGTCTGCAGCGGCGGTGGCGATGATGGGCGCGCCGCCCCCGCCCCCATCCCGGGCTCCCCCGCGCCCGCCGCCCAGCAGCCCGGGCTGCGCGTGGAGGACGAGGCGCGGGATCTCGGGTGCGGGGACCAGCCCGAGGGTGCTCCGGGTGCAGCGGCTGCGGCTCTCACCTGCGGCGCGGGGCTCGCGGCTCCCACCCTGCCGCTCCGCCCTCTAGCCTCGGCACCGGCCAAGGCTGCAGCCCACCGCGGAGCCCCGGCTCGCCCTGCGTGCCAGCCGGTCTGAAAAGCGAGCTCTGGCTGCCGGTCTTTGCGCCTCGGCTCCCTGTGCACGACCACGGCAAAGCGAGTGCAGGCATCCCTTTATTTTCCCGTTTGAAAAGGAAGGCAAAGCGGTTGCCGGCTCTTCTCACTGGGAATCGGGAGGTTCCTCGGACAGAGTTAGGGAGACGTTCCCTGGGCTCTGATGTCGGCAGGACTCGCCCATTGTGCCACCCAGATAATTATTCAACTATGCAGCATCCATTGCACCTTTCCCATTTTTCTTTTCCCCTAGCTACAGCGTGCCCCCTAGCTTCCGTACTCTGACACCTTCTCTTGCACTCGCGGATGATGAACTAGAATAATGGTGAAAAGAAAGCTCATCCGATCCGAACACTCTCGACCTTCTCTGTGACTGACTAACTGATTAATACCTAGCTGGGATAGGTACTTAAATACAATTCATTCTAACCTTGTCCTTTACTATATAAAACGTGCCTGTCTATTTACATATTTTTCTTGACGTTCACGTATTAGCGAAGTCTTGTTTCTGTTCAGTAATCGGTGTGATTAATTTAATTACTTGTTCACTGCGTTGATGTTTGTAAATTTAATTTGGTAAACTTTCATTTTTCTGATTGCTGATAGCGGCATAACACAATTACAAATGCAGTCCCGATTGGAACTCGCAGGAGCAGTTTATCCCTGGTGATCCAAGTTTCTGTTAAAAAGCATTTTTATTTATTCTGAATATTTTAAATAAAACACTTAATACAAAATTTTGTTTTGAATATTTGTAGAATATTTTATTAACTATAGCCTTCATTTGAATGAAAGGAAGGATTTAAAATCGGGGGGAGGTTCTTAACTCCCTGACTTACTTGTATTTTACTTTTCAGTTAGCTATTTTTACAGTATATTTTATTGCTAGTTATAAATTTTTTCCTTATTTTTTCCTAACTTTGATCATGGATAAATAGATCCAATTTTGCACACTTTACCTTAAGGATGAAATATGCTTTTGAAATGTAAGAAACAAACATTAGTTACCTTTTAAATACTATTATTTAAAAATAAATTAGTTGCCAGAAACGTCTCTTTTTCCTTTTTTCTTTCCCATCTTTATGTGCTTAAGCTCATTTTGTTAATTCTTTTGATAAAAATGGGGTTACACACATACATGCAGGAATTTGAAGATGCAGTGATTGTTTAATGGCACTTGCGATCAGCGGCATACATATATATGTTGATGGTGTAGAATCATTACTTGACTAGGAAAGACCTTGCAGTTTACAAAATGGACATCTTTGCCTTGCTTTCCTTACGTGTAGATGGGAGCAGTACTCAATCCCACAAGGTATTATGCATTAATTCAGAGACGATATTTTCATCATACTTTTAAACTCATTTTAAGTATTTTCATTGCTGAATCATGAAAATGCCTCAGTATGTTTTTCCATGGCACCTGAGAATGGCTGGTTTACATTTGATTTTGCTTTGGCAAGATGGCTTTAACTTGGAGGAATTTCTTATTTCTTCGTGGTCTTTAATTTTAGACTGCGCGCCTACATGTAATAATTACAGATGTACTGATAAAAGTGATTGGTAACAAGTAGAATATTGAATTAAATTCGCAGAGTCTAGGAAATGTTGACGATCTTTTGATTAGAAAATATTGGCTAACGATTCATAATGGTGATCACTTGTAAGATAACCTCCTGTAGGGCAGCTTTTTCACTAGGGTTCATAAATATCAGTATATCAAGAGACGATGCGTTACTATGGTATAATCTCTAGTTTTTGTTTAGTTTTAAGAATAATTTATCTTTTCCAAGGCTTGATCTTCATTTTAATAGTAGAGAATATATTTGATTTCCTTATTAAGTGATTGGCTCTTTCATTTTCACAGCAAAAACTACTGTGGAAAGACTGTATCCTTAAAGCCTTTACTCCAATCGAGACTTTTGGTTACTTTGTGGGAGGAAGTTATATAGATGAAAAGTCTCTACAATCTTACAATTCATTTTACAGTTCATTGTATAGCTGATTTTATTTTTTTGAAATGAATTTGATTGCATTTTTATCATGTTTTCTTAAATATAAAGAGCTGAAATTTAACTTTTTTCTGTTTTTTTTTTGGCTAAAGAAAAGCTCTGGTCTTTTTTGAGCTCTGGGGATAAGAACTACTCTGTGGCTTACCGTCACAAATCCAAAGGCGGTAGCTCTGCGTTTAACAAATAGCAGGGGATTCATCTGTGTTCAGCAAGCAGAAGGAGCAGCCACCCAATGCAGGATGCAGGATTTAGTGAATACTTTATTTAATAAAGCGGTGTTATCTCTAAAGAGAAAGATATGTTTGGAGGGTTTTGTAACGTCCGCTATAGTACCCGTACCACATGTTCCAGAGCTAGCACTAGATACCGGATGATGTGGATCTTGGCACCCTACTTGAGAAAATGCTAATGATCTTGCGGTGTGCTTCCTGAAAATGGACATTAACACGTTCGTTTCTGAAATTATCTTTCTTTATGACTTCAGTGTTCCAGTGAGGCTTAATTAAAAAGATGTACATAAATGAAGTCTTGTGCTTGCTTATGTAACAGATTTTAAAAATAAATGGCTTCAAGAGAGAACCTCATAAAACTAAGCAGTATATGTTTTTATTTATTCCATGCAGATTATAATTTTTCAATTTTCTCTCTTCTCCATTATTTTATTTTCTTTGTTCTCAGTGCTTGGGATAAAATCCAGGACCGCCTATGTGCCAGGCACTCTACTGCTGAGCTATATACTTCCTGTTCTTAATTTTGAATCTTGAATTCCTATGGGTTGGTAGTCTTAACTTTTCCTTGCATTATAAAGTCATACCATGTGGTAAGACTTTGTAGTAGTTCCCCTTCTCATTCCTGAGATAGAGTTTAAAGAATTAATCGAAACAGCTTATAAGAGGGGAAGATGTATTTTGCTTAGTTTGAAGGGATGCTGTCCATGCAGGTGGCGTGGTGGGGGCGGGGGCAGCATGGCGGCCAGACTGTGCAGCAGCTGACTGTAGGAACGAGAGGTGTAGAGGGAACCCCGTATCAAAGAGGGAGGGAAATGTTGGTCTCCACTTGGTTTTTCTGTTTTATTCAGCCAGGATCTGAGTGGCTGGAATGGAGTCACCATCATGAAGGGTGGGTCTCAGTTATCCATCTCTGGACCCTCCAGAGGTTTGTGTCCTGGGTGATTACAGATCCAGTCAAGTTCCCGGTGAGGATTAATCACCACTGGCTTAGAATGCCTTTCTCAGAAGCCGTGTGCTTAGTGATGAGACACAGCCCACTGATAGCCTATTCAGCGCCTAATATACTGCAGTTACATGATTATGTATGCCAGTAGTTACAGATTTCTAGGAAATTATAAAAATTATGCTAACAGCTACTATAAATACACGAAAATAAAGTATTTATAGTGATATTTGGCGATTCTTTGCCCTCGTTGCCCATGACAGCATTTTCAGGAGCTTGCCTTCTTTCGTCCATCGAACAGGAAGAGAAAGATATTTCGTAATTTTCGTGTTGCTGCACCTCCTATGGGGCAAGATGTTAGGGCACGTGGAGGGGTAGAGGGTCTTCTTGTGATTTTTACTTCTTGAGGGTCCCTGCTTAAGGTGCTTAAAAGAATCTGGGGAACCCCCCTTTCTCGTGAGACGTTTTCCCTTCCTAATATTTCTGCCTGTGCTCTCGTCAGGGGCTTCTTCCTTCTAGATCTATTTCTGAAAATAACATAGTTCTAAACTTTTCTTCATACGCCTCCTTTTAGAAACACGATGTTTAATTTAGTTCTTATGTTATTAATTTTGATAGTTTTAAAGTAAGCTCAGTATAATCACATGGCATGCCTTAATAGAGGTTTGGTAGGGTTGGAGGCAGACG